TCAATGGATAAAATAAAAATGAAGAGGCCAATAATTGGAAAAGTATAGTCGGCATACAAATACAAATAGAGTACATATCCTCCATAGATATTTAAAATGTCAAATTTTCTACTCGTTTTGTACTCATTCTAGGCAACTAACTTTTTAATAACCTCACCTTCCAAAACGACAAAAAGAGGAAACTATAATTTAAGATATTTTTAGTAAAAGACATGAATTTTTAAATTCCAATTAATAGATGGTTGTAATATAGAAAAACTATAATTCACACAAATACAATTTGAATTACTATATTTATTTGTCGCGTGAAACCATGTGGTCATCTTATCATTTAGCTAAATCACATGTAAATCCATGGATTCTATTAATGTTAGACCAATCAAATTGAGATAGAACGTAGAAAGGCAATATGGTGGGAAGTGAACTAGATCGCAAAACTAATTATTTTAAATATTATATCCAGAGATTTTAACTATGGCATAACATTACTATGTTTGGACTCTTTTGAATACTTGCAGACTTTGCTACAAATAAACCAAAAATATTAAATGTAAATAATTTGAAGGTGTAAACACATGTTAATTATTCATATTTTCCCATCTTGTCACTTTTTGGAAAAATCAACGTGAATTGTTTATTCAAACAAAGCCAAAATTTTATTTTGAACAAGAACAAAACCAACCACATGTATTTTTTCGTTGATTTGACGATAAAACATTTATTCGTATATTTTGAAGATATTCAAATATAGATAATCATCAGCAAATTGTTATGCCTATTAGAAAAAAAACAAAGTTAAACGAAAATTAACATGCTAAAACTTTGACACTAAACCACTACTAGAAAATTTGGTTTTCTTTTTTTAAAACGGCGGAAGATTTTATTAAAAAACTAGCAAAAAGCTAGAAAAAGAAAACAACAATTACATCAAAATAGAAGCTAGAACCGGATTATGAAGCCAATAGGTCTATCCGATCCTAGATTTGCTAGATCTATTAGAAATCCAGAAAAATATCTTCTCTACAATAGCATCAAAGCGATCGGATTTCCTAGGAATAGTCGGGCCAAAAACAAAATTATTTCTAAAATTTCAAAGACACCAAAAAGCCGAGATAATCACCACGTCAAAAGCTTTTCTTTGGCCGGCCCTCAAACTTGTAGAATCAACCCACATCATGATATCATCAATAGCAAACCTATCTGGAAGACGAACATCCCACCAAATAGCAATACAACTCCAAATCTCCAATAATTCTCTACATCCAACAAAAAGGTGATCAATGGTCTCCACTGCAGCACTACATAACGAACACATGATTGATTGCCCCTCCACACCACGATGAGACAATCTTTCCCTAGTTGGAATACCTCCAAGTTTGATCCTCCACATCAGGATATTGAGTTTTATTGGGACCTAATTGTTCCAACAAGTATCACACCGAATATCAATATCAGCAAGAGTAGCAGAATCAATAAAGGTACTGGCTGAGGAGACATAAAACATATCCGACACATCAGCGAGCCAACCTAATATGTCAGGTCTATCAAGGAGACGAACATTTTGAACCACTTCTATAAACGCATCCCATTGACTCTACTCAATACCACCCCTAGGTAACCGACGAAGATTACCCGGATCCCATCCTATAAGAAATCTCTCTTTCACAGATTCCCCTTTATGCACATCCAACACGAAGACTCTATGGAAAGTCACTGGAAGAGAGCTATCAGAGATCCGCTTATCATGCCAAAAACTACTAAGAGCACCGTCTCTAACTCTAGTCGGACAAAGGTTGAGGAGATCTATCCCCTATCCTGGAGATTAACAATCATACGAATGAGACTATTCCATGGTCCTGACTAAGACCGATGAAGAGACAAAGTAGCAAGACCACCATCAAACCCATAAATGTTTTTAACCACTCTCACCCAAGGAAGCTGATAATCATGAAAGAATCTCCAACGCCATTTAAACATTATAGATCTATTAAAAGCAAAGAGACTTCCTACACCAAGACCACCATCCTGTTTAGAAGCTAGAATTTTGTTCCACTTCACCCAATACATCTTCCTCTCCTCCAAATCAGCCCTCCAAAAGAAATTAGCTCTCATAACTTCCAACATGTGAAGAACGGTAACAAAAGTAAGAAACAGGGACATAAGGTAACTTCCCACCGAGCCAAGAACAGACTTGATCAAAGTAAACCGACCCCCAAAAGAAAGAGATTTGGCTTTCCACACCGCAAGTTTACCACGAAATCTATCAATAATGGTTAACCAAGCCTTCACCCGACCCATATTATCACCCATCGGCACTCCAAGATGGATAAAAGGAAGGATATCCGCCCAACACCCCACCGATCTAGCCACATCCGTAACCATCGAATAGGGAACCCCTACCCCAATCAATTTACTTTTAAGCAAATTGATTTTGAGATTCGAAGCCAGAAAGAAACATCGAAAAATACGAATAAGCTGGGAAGCATTATCAAGACTCCAAGAGGAAAGCACAATAACATCATCCGCATAAAGGAGATGCGAAATCTCTACATCACCAATAGAGATGCCTCTAAAAACATCCGTCATCCGGGCCCTTTTAGCTACCAAAAATTACGTACAAATATATTTTGTAGGTAATTTCCATCAAATTTCAAACAAAAATGCGACAAAATAGAATTCCAACAAAATTCAGACAAAATACCTACGAAATTAGAAACTAGGAGAAGTCCGTTGGAGAAGCGTTGGTAATTTCCAACAGAATTCCTACGGAATATTAATTAAAATTAAAAAAAACAATCATGTAGGAATATCGTAGGAAACTAAAAGCGGAAAACTAAAAATGTTTCCCTCCTTTTCTTTTTGCCTCTCTCTCTCTCTCTCTCTCTCTCTCTCTCCCCCCCCCCTTTTGTTTTTGTCTTTCCCCCATTTTTTTATAAATATTATTATTACTACTACTATTTTATATTATTATTATCATTATTAAATTTTTTATTTTATATTATTATTAAAAAATATAATAATTATTATTAATATAAATATTATTATTATTACTTTTATTTTTAATATTATTGGTATTATTTTCTTATTATATTAGTTATAATTAATTTTTTTTTATTATAATTATACTTTTCGTTATTAATATTAGGTTTATTAAAATTGTATTATATTTATTTTTATTATTATTATGATTGTATATCTATATGTATGTGTATTTGTATATATGGGTGTATATATATATATATATATATATATATATATATATATATATATATATATATGTTTGTATGTGTAGGGGTAAGTGTATATGTATGTGTATAGGGTTTACGATATGTAGGGGTTTATGGTTTAGTGTTTAAGGTTTTAGAATTTAGGTGCATGCGTATGTATATTAATATACATGTGTATGTGTATCTTTATGTATGTGTATGTGTATTGTGTATATATGTATGTATTAACATGTAAGTATAAGGATTAGGGTTTGGTATGCTTGTGTTTGTGTGTGCATATAAGTATAAGGATTAATAACAATAAAGTTAAATGTTAATTTAACTTTATGAAAGGTTATCATAGAAAACTCTAAAGAATCACAACATACATCGAATGAACCAACTCAATCCAAAGATGTTTCAACATTAGCACACCGTGTTTCGAGTAGTGGTTACATACTTTTTACTCAACCATTAATCACACATACTTTTTTATCATGTTGTTATTATATATTAAACTAATTTGTTGTATTTTACATCAACTAAATGTATTGGATTTCAATATGGCACTTTGGTTGATATATACACATATTTCACATTGCATTGTTTTGGATGTTAGTCTCTTACATGGTGTGCTTTAACTATTGAAGATTCTCTAGACACAATGAATGATATTTATAGGCACCTATGTGTACGTGATTATATTGAAAAGCTCTTAATCATTGGAGTATGCTTATTAATTTAACATACAGTGGTGAGATGGTATCCGGTTTATTTGTCTCAAATTAAATTCCGTTTACCCATTTGTTATAATTCTGACAATTTAAGCGGTTAACCAGGTTGTTTGCTGGAATGACATACTGACTCAGTTTTTTATGATGTACCATGTTGACATTGCATGATGATGTTACATTTTTTGTGACATCACATTATATGCATCCAAATTGAATATATATATAGATATAATAATATATATATATATATATATATATTAATATATATTATATAATATATATATATATCCGTATTCTAATAAATAATAAGTTTATACAAGTGTCATAATATTAGAAATGATCATTAATGTTGTATGTCACCTATCATGCCACATGTCAACCTATTAATTCTCTATTCAAATTTTAAATTTTAAATTTCTCTTTCTAATTACATTATATTAAATTAATAATTGATTTTTCATTTTAAATTGTAATTTTAAATTTCATACTCTAATTACATTAAATTAACAACATTAGAACAAAATAATAAAACTAATATATATATATATATATATATATATATATATATATATATATATATATATATATATAATAAGGTGATATAATTTCACGTGTTTATTTTAATCGACGATTATAATTTTATATAACTAAAAAATATCTCTTAATTAATAATTTATTTAAATAATTTATTTGAATAGTTGATTTATAAATTTAAGTTTTTTTATTATTTAAAGTTTAATTAATTTATAATCGTGGTTCTCCGGTTATAAACTAATATATAATATATATAATATATATATATATATAATATATATATATAATATATATATCTATAATATAATGACTTTGGTGATAATTATTCAAAATGCAAACTTTTTTTTTTTTTTTTTGCAATTTCGTATGAAGATAATTATTTTTTGAGAATTTGATTTTGCAAACCACTAATTAGCAAAATTTTCCCAGACTTTGAGCATTGCCAATTATTTGTATTTATGAAAAAAGAAATAACAATATTCGGCTACTTTCACGAATTTAGATCTAATTATACACATAAGATTGATTAATGTGGCGAAAGAGCACCATAACTTCGCACTAGAGGAGCCGGTGCGGGCGACGGAGTAGCCCATTGAACGTTGGAGGGCTCCAACTGATTACCAGAATACCCTTTGGAGCAAGGTATATATGTCAGAAATTTTTTATCGGTGCAAGAAGGTTGAAGATTCGAGAAGAAATGATCACAATCGGCTTTCGATCTTTGATTCGGGAGATACGAAATGCAGTTCATCTTCACATCGAGAATTCCTTTCTTGATCAGTTCCCGGCACTTTGGCCCAACCTGACTGATATAGTTATACGATACAGTGAAATTCAATAGATTCGGCAGGCTGCACACCGATTCTGGCACAATCCGGTAGAACTTATTGTGGGCCAAGTTCAGAAGCTCCATTTTCTCCAAGCACTGAAGCGAGCGTGGGATTAGACCCGTTAACTGGTTGAATCCAACGTCGAACACTGTGGATTTCCTCAAAAGTCCGATCTCATACGGCAAACAACCGGTTAACTGATTGTTCAAGAAAAGAACCTCGAGTAGGGTGTTGGAAGCTTGACCAATACTCCGAGGGATTCCACCGACGAATTTGTTGTTAGCCAGGCTTAAATAAAGCGCTGTTGTCGACCCAAGGTTTCCGGGGAGTGTTTGCTTGAAATTGTTGTTGTTGATGAAGAGCAAGTCGAGGCCGAGAAGGAAGACTTGTGGAGGAACAACGCCAAAAAAGATGTTGAATCTGAGGTCGAGGAATACTAACTTCTTGGCTTGGAGGACTTGGTAGGGGAAGTTGCCGGATAATTTGTTGTTACTGAGGTCAAGTTCGTATAAGTAGCGGAGTGTGCCGATATCTTCCGGGATGGAGCCGATGAAGTTATTGGAATTTGCATGGAAAAATGCGAGATCTTTCAAACCGCTTAGGAATTCAGTGAGGGTTAGATTTGGGCCATACAAATTCCTGTTATTGAAGTTGACACCGGAGATGGTCTTTAGGTTAACATCTGGTACGATGTCGCAAATGAACCCTTTGTAATCACCGCAAATATGGTTTCCCTCCCATGTTTTCGTAATGCCTGTGGGATCAATTGTCACTTTCTTTTTGAAGGCTTGGATTACGTCATAGTATCGTCGTAGTAGCACGCTCTCGAAACCACCTGCTGGTGATGGCCCATGTGGTGGTTTTGGTGATGGTGGATGTGTTAATGTTGGCGATGGTTGTGGACTTGGTGATGGTGGAGGTGGTGTTGGTGGACATGGAGGGGGAGGTGGAGGTGGAGGTGGAGGAGGACAATCTTGATATCCCGGCGGTGGCCATGGAGACGCAACACCACCACCTATGATTATCTCAAGTGTTTCTCTAGGAGTAACAGCTTCGCCATTAATAGCAAAGAGACGAGTGATGCAAATCAAGAGTAGAATTGCATGAAGGCCGCCCATCTCTGATCCGAAGAAGTTCAGTGGAATAAAAAAGGATAACGAATCTTGATTAAATAATAGAGTCACGGGCATCATATTGATGTAAACTTGTCTATTTCCTCATTTGTTTCCCGAAATGTATAGTTTACTAAAAATGCCAATTCGCCAGCCATAAAGTATTGGTTCCGCCTATAACCTAGCAAACAAACAACACTTAAAATTTAATTTGAAAGTTCACGAATGAAGGTATCATTTGACTTTAAGAGTTGAATTATTTGTTCATTGTTGATTAATTCTATTCTAAGTTGATGGTGACTCTACGGACATTGGTCTTGCCACGTTCCCCTTAGGGGTGATATGGTGATATTGATATTTATAGCGGTTTAAAAACGCTATATTGGCAGTTTTACATAAATGTTCCCATTAATCCTAGTGTAACTTTATCATTGTTGTATAGATCTAATAGAGCTAAGAATTTTGAACAAATTGATGAAGTAAAATGTATATATATTAACAATAATAGATGATGGTGATTGGTGAGTCAATCAAGAGGCACACATGTGGGCTACGGCTTGATGATATGTTTCATCTAGCTATTAAGATTGACCATGATTTTAAGTATCTATACTTTTGAGAATTACCAAGCATCCCCTACAATATAACAAAGTTTATGCTTGTGTCCGTTACGCTTGATACATACGAGTACATATCACTATATAAGATAAACTGTCTCATGCATGTAAGTACGAATCATGTATTATGAGACGTACAAATATGTGCAATCCATATTGTACTTGACCCACACTAGCATGTATGACATAAATTGTGCTTGATACATACAACTATGTATTTGACACATTTTGCCTTTAATTCATATTATATTTCCCAAATTGCATGTAATTTCTTTAAATTCATTTAAAAAAAAATAGAATTTATATAAATAAACTGTAAGAAACAGGAATTACATAATACAAGAAGCATGAGAACTTCTTCAAATTCCTAGTAACACATATACTACATAATTAATGACTTATGAAGATAAAGTAGATATGATTCCTTTGGTAATAAGATGATTCATTGTATAATTCATGTTGTTAATAAAAGTTTATAAGTCATGTTTGGGAACTTTCTAAATAAACTTTGTAGGTAACTCAACAAGGAATGCATACCAAAAAGTAGGGATGAGCATTAGAACCGTCGGAACCGGAACCGGACCGGAACCGAACCGGACCCGGAATTGGTAACAAGGTCCGGTTACCGGTTCTCCATTTTTATGAAAACCGGTCCCGGTTCTAAAAACTGGAACCGATTTTATATTTTTCCCGTTTTTTAAAATGCGCATAACTCACTCATATGAAGTCAGAATTATTTGATTTTTTTTTCCAACATGTAATTTGGAGTTTGTAATTCATTATTGACTCTACAAACATACGTTTTGCTTAGATATTGAATCAGACACATGCCCCGAAAGAAAGAATAACGATGCTGCGTTTTTTCTATTTCAACACTTTTTTTTTGTTTTTTTGAATCTGTCCTATTTTTTCAAATGAGCATAACTCATTCATATGACGTCGGAATTACTTAATTTTTTTCCAGCATGTAATTTGGTATTTGTAGTACATTTTAGACTATAAAAACACATATTTTGGTTAGATATTGAATCAGTTATAGACCCCGGAAGACAACATATCAATGCTGCGTATTTTCTGTTTCAACATTTTTTTTGGAATCTGTCACACTTTTAAAATGCGTATAACTCACTCATATGAAGTCGGAATTACTTGATTCTTTTTTCATCATGTAATTTAGTGTTTGTACTTCAATTTAGAATGTAAAAAGCCATAATTTGGTTAAATATTGAATCATTTACATGTTCCGGAAGATAACATATCATCTATAATATTTCAACCGGTTCTAGTTTGAAAAATAACCGAAAAACCGGGACCGGAACCGGAACCGGCGCTAGAACCGGCGGTCCGGTTCCCGGTTATTATAATATAGGAAAACCGGTTCCGGTTCCGAACCGGTCCGGTTCTAAAGCTCATCCCTACCAAAAAGAATTAAGTCATTTGGAGTTATATGAAAAAGATATGGAAGTTTGAAAATGGTTTCAGCCTAATGTTGTATGCGGTCAAACTATTAACCAACATCAACTATGGGTTGACTTTTTTTACCATGAATTTAGGTAAGAAAATAACATGTTTTCTTTTCATTTTAGCAATAAACATATGGAGAATTTAATATATGTAACTAAAGAGGATATTAGTGTGTGTAATCACAGCTAAGGGAAGATCAAGGAGGAATCAAAGGGGTTTATCATCAAGCTTGAGAATTTGAGGTATTAGTTCAATGTCTTTCTTTTTATGGTGGAAAGTTTAATAGATTAAACATGTTTCACGAAACTTAAACTCTAGTAGCAAATGCATGTGTCATATAAGTTGAAATAAAGAAAGATTAAACATTATTATCAAAGAATTTAACTAGTTGATGTGTTTAGAACATGAGTTCTTGATGGTCCTGAAATTGAATAAAGAAACACTAATATGGTGTTCATGCTGGATGTCTAACTACTAAAATGTGTTAGAAATTATGTAATATAAGTGGATTAGATTGTCATCAGTCTTTGCAAAGAAGGATGCTTAAATTGGACACAACAACCAAAGTTTATGTTATTTCGGGTCTGATGGTAGTTGCACACACGTGTGGATTTGGCCTAAATACAAACGGCTCCTATAACCTTTGCTTCACAAAATTCTTTGAATTAAAGGCACACGACATGTGTGAAGGCCATGTCTTAATGTATATGGCCCATGTGGTCTGTACAAATAAATTTAGTTCCAAAAACCTAACTTTTCCATTTGTGGCCCTTGGTTACAAGCTTGATAAGCAAACTTGCGACCATTATTTACAACATAATTTAGGCTTTATATAACCATGAAAGTCTATGTTAGAATTAATAATGAGAAAGATATAAGAGTACTAAAGTAGGATACTATGAATGACTTAGGACAAGACTTAAATTTCTAAAACTATACATCAAGATAATTTGGACAAACTTGCAAGCTAGAGTGGAAAAAAAAGAAATGAAGTTAGTTGACCTAACTTCCCGAGGTGAGTATGTAACAACCCATAATTTTCATAAACATTTAACAATTAAAGGGAAATATCAGATTTTACACATCATCACAAAAACTAGAGTTTCCAAAAACATTTAAAAGTATTCCTAGAAAACATTAATGAGTGTTTCCAACTCATATCCTAACCATAATAAGAGCAAAAATGATAAAAACATAAATCAAAAGTCTAGTCCAATGTCCTTGATGCTTCTAAGCCCACACACTTTGTGGCTTGCTACCTAAATCTGTAAACACATGGAACTAATATCTACCAGACAACAAGTATGGTGAGTTATAATATAACATAACATACAATATAATCATACATAAATTCATAAAGTTCAGATAGCTAGCTAGCCACATGAATGACCAGGCATTTATACATATACATGTAGACAGCTAACCGCTCTACATTATCTTTCAATGTTTCCATGCAAGACTCTAACATTCTCTATCCTAGGGGTCCCTTATTCTTACTCATTACATACTTGTTCTATTAACATTATGAAAACATAACATATAGAATCCAACATATCACAATCTACAAATGATGTAATCTACATTTACATACATGTCTCCATATGCTTTGACATGAATCTACATCACATTATCATACTCTAAAAAGGTAGTATAACTCACATCTTGTAGTGGATTGAATAACAACCTACTTCCAACTTCTCCAAAGCTTCTCTTCGAGGGCTCTAATTCCTTCTTTGCCACAACCTATGACATTTACACACATAAAGCCCTTTTAAATACGTCTTAATCCATTAAGGCATCAATGGAGATTTTAGCCAAAAACTCATAATTTGGGTAAAACTCAAACTTGACAATCCTTTGTACAAGTACTTGATAAAATACTCCACCCATGCTTTTACACACCCAACCTAACTAGATCCTATCACAAAACACCATTTCATCATTTTCCATTTATAGGGTTTCAAACCCTAGAATCAAAACATGGATTTTAACTGATAAAGCTCCATAAAAAACATGAATTAAGCTTCCGAACACTTAATCAAACATTAGTAACAAGTTAACCAATACTAATCTTGCATAACAAGCTCAAACTCGGAACCATGCCGTGGTGAAGGCTTCACCACGTCGTGATGCCTAAATGACTCTGCGGTCGACTCTATTCAGCGTCATGGCCACCGTTCCTCCATAGCAACCTACTATGTCCACCATGGCGTGGTGCCGATACACCACGCCACGGTGCAATGTACGTTGCCTACGACTTACGACGGAAAAACACCCAAATCACATGTAACGTCTTCATTTTCATAGAAAGATTTTCATTTTTATTTATCCAATTAAATTAGTGTATAATTAACTTATGCGAAAAACATGATGTCGATGCTTGGGTACAATGAAACCTTTCCATTCTCACGATCCCAAGAAGTACCTGAAAATATTTATAATCAACTAGGTAATCATGAAGCTTAGTGAGTTCTCCAAAATACCATGTACCATAATACATATACAATGCATACACATAAGGGCCTTCAACATAAAGCTAGTCCACCCATTGGCCATTAGCATAAAGCTGGTCCTCCCTTTTGGCCTTCAACATAAAGTTGGTCCGCCCCTTGGCCTTCAACATAAAGATAGTCTGCCCTCATCTCCCCACTTAATATATCAAAATATATATAGTAGACAAGAAAATAAACCGTCCAACACAACATGAAACTAACTAAACTAGTCTAATTGTCTAATAGCGTACATGTTGAAGATTGATTCAAAGTTTCTCAAGAAAATATTAACTCACCTGACTGGTCTTAGTAACTACTAGAAGTCTTTCAATTTTTCTGCATTTACTTAAGTCCTTCCACATTTCCAGCTTTTACTTTTCAGTTGTAAAACTCTACTATTTATAGTTGCCTTCTATTCTCTTCTATTTATCAA